TCAGGGAGAGAGAACAGCATGTGCAAAGGTCCTGAGTCTGGGAATACAAGGCCGGCCAGGGAAGTGTACCAGTCTTCAAGACTTCCATCACTTAAGTTCCCTCATGCTAGTTTCTCTTCCCACCTGGGTTTCCTACACCTGTCTGCTTAGAAATGTGCCCCCTTCCCTCCAGCCCACCTGGGGCTCCAGACCCCTGAGGCCCCGGGCAGGGTCAGGACTCGCGCACAGAAGTCTGATGAAATGTGTGCTGGTGAATGAGCCAGGGGCAGGCGTGGCAGGTGGGTGGGGCGTGGTCCCTCAAAGTGCAAGGCGCTTGGCCCAGTGATTAGGCCTGTCGTTAATGAGGTCAAGGTAAAGAGTTTCTGACTCGGCCCTTGGTAGCCAGACAGAAGGAGAGACAGTGGACACCCTGGGTCAACACCAGCCCATACAGCCCTGCCCAGACCGGGCTGATCCCTCGACCCTCGACCTCAGGACCTTGCTTGTTACCTCCTAGTGCTTATGACAATCTGGAAGCTTTTAATTCCTATTCTGTTCATGTGTCTTTTGTCCATCTCCTAGGCTGTAACGTTTGAGTCCCTCGGGGTAGGCTGGGGCCTGTCCTGCTCACCACAGGGCCCCAGAGCCCAGCTCCACACACAGCAGGAGCATGTAAATCATTTTCCCTGAAACTGAATGAGCTGGGATTTCTGTTTGGTTCACTGAAGTATTCCCTGAGGTCTGGCACATAATAGGTGCTCAAGAAATATTTGTGGACTGAGGCGATGGATCTAGGTTACATCAGGAAGTGCTTCCCTTCTCTAAGACTCAGGTTCACCCTCTGTAGGAAAGTCTAATAATCCCACACTCACAGGGTGAGGAGATGGGGGGTTAAAGGCCATCCCTGATGTGAAGGAGCTCTGTTCTGTAACGCATGATAAAAAACTAAAAAAAAAAAAAAAAAAAGCCTTTTTGTTCAGAGGAACAGGCTCATGGAGTGAGCAGGAAGGTCATTAAAAGGCACCTACTCTGACCCCCTCCTTGCCGCATTTTGCAGGTGGGGAGACCAAGGCCCCTAGTTGGCAGGGAGTCACCCAGGTCATGTGACAAACCTGCCTGGCCACATCTCCCTCCTGCCCCAAAGACGGCTCTCAGGAAGAGCTTCCCTTCATAACTCACACCACGCTGCCAATGACAAAAGAGGGCTGCGCTGGGGTGCTGGAAAAGGCCTGACTGAGTCGGTCAAGCCTAGGCAGCAGTGGTGGAGGCGGCACTGGGCTCAAGCCTGTGGCTCTCGGTCGCCAAGAGAGCCCCGGAAGACCCGCTTCCCCTCTCAGTTTGCTGGGGCTAGAAAACTCCGGGGATCCACGCCCACCTGCATGGTAAACCTGACCCGCTTTCCCCACCAGGGAAAGCGCTCACAGACCTTCAGGCCTGACGATACAGGTCTCACGGTCCTCCCTCGCTGGACTGAGGCTCTGCGGCCACAGCGCCAGGTGTAGCCCAGCCCTCCCCACTTCCCTGTGCCTCAGTTTCCTGTAAGTGATCAGTGAGCATTGCTGAAAGCGTTATCCTCTTCTGAACCTCGTTCAATCCATAGCCATGGAGAGCCCCCGCCAGCTCTAAACGTCTGGGCACCCACCCATCACACGTTCATTTCCTATTCCGTAGTCATCACCGTTAGCAACGGTCTTATGTGTCTCCTGACTGACGGCCCATCTCTCTCTAGAAGGCAGGGCTGGCTCGGCCTGTTCTTGGCTACACCTGAGCTTGCAGCCCAGAGTAGGTGCTCAGTAAAGATTTGCCCAGTGAAGGAACATCTGCTCCCAGCCCCGTGAGGAGGCCTCAAGTCCCCTCTGACCACTGGAGGAAATGATGTTCCTCGGCAGAGCCGGAACGGAGGCCAGGCGGCTAGCCCTCCAGCCTGAGCTCTTTTGTCCCCTGTGTCAGGAGGTTTAGAGAGCGGCTCAGAGCACACGAGGCCCAAGTCCGGGTGTGGGCAACCTTCTGAGCCGCTGCCCCTCTTGGCCAGGCTGAGAACAAGCTGCGAGGAGCCGTGAGGGGTGGCGCCGGGGCCGCCGGGGTTGGTCGTCTCTGCTTCCCCAGGCCAGCCCCTCTGGCACGCCAGGGGTAGGGCTCCTACTTGGCCATGCAGGATTAGGGTTTAGGGGACAGCGCGCAAATAGCTCGTAAGCCTCTGCATGGAGGTGCTGCTTGGTCAGCAGCACCCGCCCCCCGCCGCCTCCCCTCACTGGCTTAACCCCACAGGCTGCGTCACCACAGCTGAGTGACGCCTTAGACTGAGCTGAGAATGTCAAGGGGGGAGAGGAAAGGAGAGGCCGACTCTCCTCTCCTTCTGGCCTCCTCTCCTCCCGCCCCACTTCCTTCCTCCTTCTTCCTTCCCTCCCACTGCAACATTTGGCCTGAACTGGGTGCTGGGGACACTGAGATGAATCCTAGACAGTCCCCGTCCTCAAGGAGCTCCCAGGCTTAGGAGGCAGCAGACAAAGGGAAAACTAATAACCGTGAGAGGTGGGAATATGCTCCAGCCCCAGTGCTGTGGGGGCCCAGAGGAGTGAGATTTGGACCAGGAAGTGGCGAAGCTCCCCAGCCTAGGCAGGGGGACAGCTGGGTCCAGGTCCAAGGAGGGAAGGGCCGGCTGGCGTAGAGGCGCTGGGGCCGCGGGATGGGATGGCAGGGGAGGCAGGAGGGCCTACGAGTCCGGGGGGCCAGCTGGCGGCCAGCAGGGGCCACTAAAGTTACAAGCAGGGGAGGGGCGTGGCCGGGTTCCATTCTAGGAGATGTTCTGGAGTCTGGCTGGAGGAGTATCAGGGTGTACTTGGGCAAGTGCTGGGCCCAGGGTGACAGCCCTGCCCAGTGGTGGCCTGTCTGCTGGGGCTCCTACCTACCCTGAGGTCAGGGCTGGCACAAGTGGAAGGTCATCTGGTATCTGCCACCGGCAGCAACCTTGGAGAAGGGGCACCTGCCCACCTGTTCGAGAGCCATGAGGGGCTCCCGGCTTCGGCAGCCTTGCTGGGGGTAGGTGCAGACACCAGTGGGCTGAGGCCGGGCCAGAGCCAGGGCCACCTAAGGTCTGGCCTGGGGCTCTTTCTGGGCCACCCAATCCCTGCTTCCGTACCTCCTCCTTCCAGGAACTGGGAACAGTGCTGAGGATCTGGAGCCAAGAGGTCAGGATCAAGTCGCAGCCTGAACCACTTCCAAGCTGCACAGCCTCTGGCAGCCGCTCCCCTCCCCGGGCCTCAGTCTCCTCTTAGTGAGACAGGCATCTCGAGACCCCCGTGGTGCCTGCCTCACTGTGGCATGGGAGGGGCTGTCAGGGTCATCTGACACAGACTGAGGCTGGAACCTCAGTGTCAGAGCTGGAGGGGCCTCTTGTACAGATGGGAAAACAGCCTTGGAGAGAGGGCTGGACCTGGCCAAGGCCTTGTCCAGGTCGGAACAGGAGAGCAGCAGGACACAGTGCTCACGCACAAAGGCTGTGCCTGCCTGTGACTCTGTCTCGACTCAGTAAATATTTGATGAATGAAAGAAAAGAGAATGTCACTGAGCCTCAGTCTCAGCATCTGTACAATGGACATCCTTGAAGACGGCAGAGGGTTACAGAAGATGATGCACGGAAAGTGCTCGGCACCATGTCTGGCGCTCAGTCAGTCAGGGCCAGACTTAACGGGAGCTCAGACCCAGGCCTCTGGAGCTCAGCTCCCCTGTGGCAGCAGAACCCGGCACAGCACACCCTCACCTCTGCGTCGTTCGGCTGACAGGATGCACGCTGGAGTCTCAGGCTGGGCCCCTCCCCTGCCTCTAGCCTCCATCTTATCTGTCACTGTGATTGACGCCTGTTAGGTGGCGGTGGGGGGGCTGTTTTTTCCCTCTCCTTTCTCCCAGCCATATGCAAGTGCTTTCAGTTCAAGTAATGCGCTAATGGAAACGCTAACACATTAATAAATGTTTAGCGAGAGAGAGAGCATGCATGATCGTACGTAATTAGACACTCAACGGAGGAGTTCTGTTGGCACAACTCTCTGGCTCCCTTTCTGTATTTTCCTCCATCATCCCCTAAGAGAGATGCAGAGGGAGGCAGGGAGGAGAGGGTGGGGCAGGGTCCAGCTCTGGACTCACCACTGGGTGGCCTCTGCAGCTGCTCCCTTCTCCAGGCCTCAGGGTCTTCATCCCTCCGATGGGGACATTTGTCCCGCTCTGCCCACTTCACAGATGCCCTGTAAAGTATCAATATCTAATCACCAGGGTGGTTTCCACACATTCCCTGGCAGCCCAGTTCCCTTCTTCCTGCCGTCAGGACTTTGTATAAAGCACTGGACTGCTCGCTGCCTCCTGGGCAGGTAGACCGGAGGGCGAAGGGAGAGGCCTCAGGACAGGACAGGGGCTTCGCAGCCAGGGCCCCAGCACCTCCACTAGCCCCCATGGCGGCAGAAGGGAAATCATCCCCCTCCGTCACTGAGCCAGCCTATGAGAACTGAGCCAGCCTATGAAGCACGGCTGGCACAGAAAAGGTCCCCAATAAACGTCAGCTCCCCTCCCCAGCTTCTCATTGGTCCTCGAGCTGCCGAATCGGACACTTGCCGGTGCTCAGGAGAAGGGACCTTCCTGGAACTTCAAACGAAACCCACCCGCTCCAGGAGCTGAAGGAAGGGGAAAGCTTCAGGTCAGCTTGGGGGGCTAGGGGATGGTGGGGAGCAGGGGGGCCTGGCCCCAGCTGGGAAGTAGAGAGTCGACTCCAGAGCCCCCGGGAGCGGCAGCCCTCTTTGCCACCTTCTTTAGAGCCAGATATCTTATCTTCTCGTTGAGATGGAGCCCCGTTAAAACCAAAATAAATAAATATTTTTAAAAACCCGTTCCCCTACCATTCCCATTTCGATTAGATTAAATTTTAAGAGCACACAAATGTAATGTTCCTCTCAGATCAAATTAGAAACAGGTGCACTTTTGCATAAGGAAATTAAGTTGCAGACAATACGAAGATTTGTGAAAATGCAGGCACGGATGATGAAAATAAGTAGTCCTTTTATTTGTAATTATTGAGGCAATCTGTTCACAAAGTGTACATGTTAATGGTCTGACAGATCTGTGGACTCCAGCAGGCTGCCGTGAACAACTCAGAGCCGTTCTGAAAGTAACAGATTTTTTTTTCTTAGAAAATATATGTACATTCTCTTCTCCCTCTCCTGGCAGTATTTACAAGGCATGAAATGCCATAAATAGGAATTCCGTGGTTACACAAGGCCCCTCCCTAGAGTTCAAACTTGATCTGGGCAGAAGACACATTCTGACAGTTTAACTCTTCCTTCGATAGCCCAGCTGCCTGCAAGGCGGCCGGGAGGGGGCAGGTGGTCCCGAGGCTGCCGGTCAAGGGCTGGGGTCGTCGATGCGCCTCCGGCAGTAGGGGCAGCAGGTGTGCTGAAGCACCAGCAGCTCGTAGTCCTCTGAGTGGAACATCTGAGGAGAGACGGCCGGGACCCCAGGCCGCAGCTCTGGGCGCTCAGCAGCCCCAAGCTTGGTGGGGACCACTGACCTTCCAAGGGCAGGTGGCTTGGCAGTGAGTCGGGACTAGAAACACCACATCCAGGCCACCTTTGTCTGAGGACTGGGAGGGAGGGGGAGAAGGTCTGAGGCCCCTTTTTTTCCTAAATGAAGTTCAAAGGTGCATCACATTTGCCCAGCCCTCCTGGTTTAAGGGCAGGTACAGAAAGCACAGGGTCAGGGGCAAGTCCACTCCAGACAGCCCATGGAATGCATGTGAGAGTGGGGAGGGCCTAAGGATGGCTGAGTCTTTCTCCCAACTCGGAGCCCTGGCCTTGGCCTTGGCCGCTGAGGGACACCTGTGTTCCTCCCAGATGCCTGGCCTCCCTAAGGGGACATCTGGGAAATGGAAAAACAGTGCAGACGAGAAACTGGGAACCACACACGAGCTGCAGGCAGCAGGCAAGGTACCTGGAAGCAGGAGGGGCACATGGTGATGGAGGCGTCGGGCAGGAGGGAGCGGAAGTACTGCCACCGCAGGGGCGGGGGCCAGCGCTTGATGAGCACATCCCGCCGGCTCATGGAGCGCAGCACCGAGCGGTTCACCACCACGGGCACAAACTCCAAGCCACCTTGCTGTAGGGCAGGCGGGGAGAGGGGCACCAGGGCCCTCACTCAGCCACGGGGACATGTTTACGTGGATTATGATCCCACAGAGGACCCCAGACACTTCCCCCACCGGGTCCCTCAACAGAACCTGGCCAGGCCACCTCTGTGAAGGCACCTCCTCTCCCCCGAGTGGCCCCGACAGGGAGTGTGCGCAGGAAAGGGACCCAAGACCGCCCTCCCAGCAGGCCTCATGGGCCTCAGCAGCCTGTCACTCAGAGGGGCACCCTCACCTCGAAGCTCAGCTTGGCTGTGAAGGGGTCATCGTCTCCCATGGAGTCCAGGGTCTCGTCCAGCCTCAGAGTCTGGGAAGCTGCAGGAGCTAGTCAAGGACGGGACCTGAGGCCGAGGGACAGGCCCCACCCTCCACCCGATGCGTTGAGACCCACGGGAGCTCCCTCCAGGCCTTGAGTGGCACTCTCCCTACCAGCCGTGGGGAAGCGTGGCAAGGTCTGTGGAGTGGCTTTCCAGATGGAGGGATGGAGGGAATGTGGGCCGGGGTGACGCCGCGGTCACACGAGGCCGGGGCCACACCCAGAGCACAGGTGGGGAAGGAGGAGACAAGGGGCTCTGACGGGCCTCTGCTGCCCCCTCAGACCAGGCACGGCTCATGGAGACCGGCGAGAAGCGCCGTGTGAGCAGAGGCCTGTGGGCCTGCTGGTGTGGGAGCAGCAACGATGGGCCTGGCTGGAAACCACGGCCGGCAAACCCGCCAGCTCCTGGAGAAACACTCAGCAGCTGCCGGGTGGTCTGCAGGCACCTGAGGTGGCCTCGCAGATCCTGTTTCAGGGAGAAGGCGGAGAGCGCCTGCGGATCCCAGGGAGCCGCCCCTCTGCCAGGCTGGCTGGGTCCGATGAGGAAGGGCCCCCCAGGGGAAGGGAGGCTGCTGGTGCCGAGTCAGGCGCGGGACGTGGCCCCGCACAGCAGCTACGACCCAGCCTAAGCATCTGACGTGAGTGTGTAGAGGGTGGGCGTGAGTGCAGATACGGTTCCCATCTCCGTCCTTCAGTAAACAACTGCCTGGGTGTTCCTCAATCCTGCTCCTCCAAACGTGGTCCACAGACCAGCAGCATCGGCCTCGTCTGAAAGCGTGTAGAAACACCGGCTCCCAGCCCACCGAGACCTACCCACCCAGCTGCCGTGTGCTCACAAGGCCCACCGTGTGCGCGCCGTGGCTCGGCTGGGACCACGGCTGCGGTCCTGGCCACAGGGACACCTGACGTGTGGCCTGTGGCCCGAGCTGTTCCAGGGAGGGCGTGCCCCGGGGTTTATGCTGACACGCTGGGAGAAGTGCCGGGGGTCGCAGGGCTGATGGGATGCAGGCTGGGCACTGCTGGTGGGGACAGGGCAGGTGCGGCCTAAGAATGAAGCTACCAGAGGATAGCAGGCCCCAGAGGACAGGAGGCAGGCTCCCGTCAGCGCTGAGCAAGCATCTGGGTGAAGCTGAGCACCCGTCCACGCTAGGTTTCTCTACACCCTTTTGTTGCTTGGCCTGTCCAAGTTGTGTCTCTGTCCCTTGTCCGTAAAAGTGACCTGACCAGAAGAGCTGGGCCACCGATACAGGCGTCATACGCCACGTTGGCTGCTCATCAGCCCCACACAGCCAGTAGCAGGGGAGCGCCTTTCAGGAGCCAGGGGTGGGTGGGAGGCCCTCCTGGGTGGAAGGCCAAGGTGGCATCTCCACTTCCACGTGCCACTTCTGGCCTGTAGGCACGTGCTGTCCCCTCCTGCACCGCTGCACCCTGGCCAGCGCTCTGCCCATTTCTGGCCCTATGCCTGCTCCCACATGGTCCTAACCATCACACAGGGTGGCCTGCCCTTTCCTGGCCTTACCCCCCAAGGCCCCTGCCTCCTGGCGTGCTCCCAGGCCGATGCTCAGCTGACACACACAGAGTCTGGCCAGCACCCAGGATACTGTTGCTTGTGATCTCTTGCCATTTATTCTCACGCTTGTGTCTTGGCGCCTCCAGGTCAATTAGGGAGACGGCTTCTTCATCAGTAATCCCCTCCTCCAGGTAGAATTCAACCAGGTGCAGCACCTCTGCAGGCACAGGGAGGGGGAGGGGCTGGGGCTGGAATGCTCTCACCAGGCAGCGCGAGGGGGTGGAAGGGTCCCAGAGCTCCTTCCCCACCCAGCACAGGCCTCTCTGAAAGCTGGCAGGTGCAGCATTGCTGCCTGCCACACATCTGGGGTAAGCAAGCATGTGTGCGTGTATGTGTGTGTGCGTGCAGGCATGCGTGTGTACACAAGGGTGAGCACCGGGGGCCTTTACCCCTGCTCTGTCCCCCTAGGAGCCGGAGGGACTCCTCTCCAACGGAAGAAGAGAAGCGTCTCTGCACAGCTACCGGGAAAGGGCTTTTGACCCCCGTCAACATGGAAGAAGCTGGGGCTTGAGAGGCACATCAGCCTCGCAGACGGAGGGCCTGACTAGCGGCGCCTCTTCCCAGGCATTTTCATCAGGCAGCGCTGCACACTGGGCTCTGAGGGGTGGGTGCTTCAGGTCGGGGCAGCACTGAGGTCCTGCCTCTGGGAACCCGGAGTGACTGTGTGTGTCAGGCGGGGTGGGGTCTCACGGTCCCCGATTTCCAAAGGAGGACACAGGTGCCCCACCCACATGCCGGCCGCCCCAACCGCACACAGCACTCACCATAGGAAGAGGCTGAGAAGACGAAGGGCTGGCGGCAATTGATGCAAACGTTGCCCAGGTTGTTTAGCAGCGGGTTGTTGGTGGAGCAGCGGTAGCACAAGGGCACCAGCTCCTACAAAACGCCAGCACCACAAAGGCCCGAGGGCCCAGCAGGGGTGGGGTGGGGTCCAGCCCCGTCTCCTCCCCTGGCTTCAGCTCCCTGGGGCCTGGCGGCTGAGAGGAAAGGCCACCTGGGTAGGTGGGGAGGGGGCACTGGAGAGGGCACAGCGCACAGGCTCTGAGCTGCGGCAAAGCAGCATAAGGGCCTACAGGGACCACATTGGTGCTGGACACCCCCTTCCCAGGCAGGGCTCAGCAGCGCGGTTCTCCTGGCAGGAATGACAACCACTGCGGCCCCCGTTTACCAGCCAGTCCCTGTGCTCCATGGACTGCGCTAAGCACATTACCCACCCTGGCTCACTTCTCTTCACAGCCTCTCGTGGGAAAGCTATTAGGCGCATCCCCATTTCATAGAGCTGGAAACCGAGGAAATGGGGGAACTGGGATTTGAACCTAGATCTGTCTGATGCCAAGTCTCCGCTCTGTGCTTGAAGGAGGGGACTGTGAAAGAGACAGCGGCTGGTTGGGTTGGAGGAAGGCGGGCTGGGGCACTGACTGAGCTGCAGACACTCGGAGTAGATTTGCTGGCAAGTGACAAACCGGTTCCAGAAGGGGTGGGCTAGGGGAGGGGCTCCTAGGCTGAGGTGAAGGCAGGGCCAACCTGGGCACTGGGGCGGAGCAGACCTGGAGCCTCGGGAGAGCTAGGAAGCAAGGGAGGGCAGGGCTGTGGCGGAGAAGAGAGGACACAGAGAGGGAAGAGGGGAGAGAGTTGGCAAGCCAGGGCTTGGGTGGCGGGCGGGCGGGAGCGCAAAGCCCCAGGAGCATGGCAGCCATCTACAAATGAACCCAGGTCGCACTAGGAGGTGTCAGGAGAAGCCTCCTGCCCGAGGGGGCCGCGCCCTCACCTCGCTGTCCTGGAAGGGCTTGGAGCGGATGGTCAGGCTGCCCAGCTCAATGGACTTCTGGAACCTGGCGGGGGTCTGCAGGCCCTGCAGTTTGTCATAGGCGTGCCGGGCCAGCTTGTAGGCACCCAGTGCTTTGCTCTGTTTGGCTAGAGTGAAGAGCGTGTTCCTGCCGATAACGACGTTAAGGACAGTAGAGGTCACTCCAGGCCCGAGAGCTGGCACTGCCCACCTCTGGAGCGAGCTCCGTGCTGGAACGCAGCTCGTGCTGGTGCCAGGAGAGCATGGGAAGGAGTCTGAGCACTGCCTCGCTCATTCGTGGGATGTAAGTATATTTCTCGGGTATCAAGGCCCAGAGATTTTTCCAGAGATAGAGACAGCGTAGTTTCCCTTAATATTTTGATCTTGCTTGGGGTTTCTGGGCCTGCTGACGGCTCACTCTGTACCCTGCCCAAGCCAAAACGGCTCCCTCGGCCTCACCCAGCCTGCCAGCCAGGCCCTAGGATGCCTGGCACCAAGCACCCCCCTGCTCCAGCCCCGCCAACGGAGCCTGGTCCCAGACCGCCCCGGTGCAGACACTCCTCTGCCTGCACTTCACCAAGGCCATGGCGAGCTCTGAGCGCAGCCTCCCTTGCTCCAAGGCCCTCCTTGGAACTCCTAGGCTTTGTGCTCCATCTCAGGTCACCTCAAAGGCCGGCTGTGCCCAGGCCTGGCCTGCCCTTCCTCCCCTCCCCCCACCTATGAATGCCCTTCCCCACTTCTCCCTAACACGCCTCAGCTAAATGAGGCCCAGGCCCAACCTCCTCCCCACTCTCCTTCCCCGAGGCTCCTGTTCCCCACACCCCCAGCGTGGCCCCGCCCACCCCAGCAGTCACGTGGAGGCCAGTTTCCTTGTCTGTGTCTCCACCGTGCCTGATCAGAGTCAGGCGCTGTGTCGGGAGCTGTTTCCACATCCCCAGTGGACAGCAAGGGTGAAGCTCAGGGCAAGGGTTCAGTCAAACTCTGCTGACTTGAACAGAACTTGCAGCAAAGGCCGGGTGTAGGTCCCGAGAGCCCCTTGGTCTGTGGCAGCTTCCCCTGAAATGTAAATGACGGGCCTGAAACCCTTTAGAGAAGCTAGTTCTCACCTCTGAACCCTCGACTGGGAGGGTTTTTTACTCAAGGAAAGAAGGCAGGGTTGGGTGGGGCTGGGAAGGGGCTTAGAGATAGTGGTGTTTAGAAGAGGACATGGGTTTATTACGACTTTTATCACTTTGAGGACCTTCAGGATTTGGGGTCATTTCCTGGTCGTTTCTGGCAGCACAGGCCCTCAGGCCCCGCCTCCGCTCACGGCCCCTCCCTGGCCCTTACCAGACAGAGAAGGAGAGGCCGGGTCACAGGGAGGCCCTCAGGCCGCTGCCCCTCCAGCCTGGCTCGCACGCAGGGGGCCTTCAGCTCCTCCCTTCCCCCACCTCACTTCCCTCCAAGCCCTTCCAGGCGCTGGGCGCTCCCCTGGAACATGTACTCCACGTCTTCCCTGGTTACCTCAGCCTACAGGATGGCTGTCACCTCCTCTAGGCAGCCTTCGCCAACCCTGGCCCCGGCCTAGCTGCATTCCACCCTGGGACACAGCACACGCCCCACTGAACCAGGCCCTGACACTTGTCACCTCCCCATTTGATGGCAGTTTTTCGCCTACTGCCTGGTCCGGAGCCGGGGATGCAGCAGGTGCTCTGTCCGCCTGGGCTGAATAAACGGTCCCTCCCCACCCCCCAGGGAAGTGCCCAATATTCCAAGCCCCGAAGGCCTGGCGTTTCCTTCACTTCAGTCACACCCTCATCTGTGGGTTCTGGGAGGGCCAGGACAGTGTGTTGGCCAGAGGCCTGCTGCTGGGCCCAGCCCAGAGAGCCCTGAAAACTAATCCTCCCTTGGCGCTCCCTCGGTCTCCCTGGCTGAGCCTCTCTTCCAGCCGAACAGCAGCGGCAGGGCGAGCTCTCTCCCCTCCCCGAGGCAGCTGGAGAGAGGGAAACTTCTGCCAGCAAAGTGCTCTGGCCATTAGACAAGAGGGGTGGGACAGAGGGTGGGGTGAGAGAAAGGATACACTTTAGAGATGCCCAGGGGAGTGTCCTTGGTCAGGCTGTGCAGCAGGAACCTGGAGATGTTGAAGAGCGTTTCGGGAAGGTGGAAACTGAACGGCTCCTCCTGCCGTGAGGAAAGCAAACAGGATTGAATTTCTCAGCCGAGCTGCTGCTGGGCCGGGCGAGAGGCAGACAGACACCAGTAACTCCAAGCGACTTCAACAGAACAGCAGACCCACCCAGTGGGCACCTACTGTGTGCCGGGCGCCTGCTGCCACTGCCTCCGGTGGTCCCCAACCCAACCCCGTGAGGGAAGCACGTGCTGACAAGAAAACCGAGGCCTCGAGAGATGATCTGCCCAAGTCACCAGCTAGAAAGGAGTGGAGCTGGGATTCAAACCCAGGTCTGATCCCAAAGCCCAACAATGTCTTTCTCCCAAGCTCACTGCCTCTGGGGTCAGTAAGGATTCCACTTCCCTGAGCTCAAGCTGTCTCCAAGTAGCTCTAAAAGAGGAGACCTTTATGCGGTTTAAGACATGACCTCCATATAAGCACGTCTTTAAGCGGAGGCAATTAACCCTTTGTAGGATGAAATCGCAGGCCTCTTCTCTGCTGTACAGCAGCAGCCTGACTGTGCGACGCCCACAGGTGTGCCAGGCGCTGGGGCTCCCAGCTGCATCCCTCCGCCCCCAGAGCCCGGCACAGGCCCTGACAGACAGGCACTCAAGACATGCTGAGTTGAATGAACAGGTCTTCTGCACCCAGAGGCTGCCAGAAGCTCAACACAGTAGAGCAGAGGGAACTTTCTATCAGGAGGAGTCTATAAAAGATTAAGAAAACCCTGTTTCGAAGGAATCTGGTGCGCAGCTTAGATGACAAGATGAAAGCAGGCCAGCTACCCACCCCCACCCCCCACCAGTGAGCACCTAATGGTAATAAAACTGACATTTCCTGAAGGGTCTTGCTAGGCCACAGTCATCACTGAGCCACCAGGACTTGGGCCCTCAGTTTGTGAGGACTCACTTTACACTACTTCTTTGGTCCAGAACCCAGCATTCTCTCTTTAGTTCTCACTTAAATTTCTATAGCTTCTGTTAGTTCCAAGAACCCAAGAAAACCTGAGAGTGCATCCTTTTCTGGGTGACAGCCAGGGAGAAGTCTGCCTCTGGTTATACTGCACTAGATATGGAAGCTAAGAAATGTCCCAGAAAGAGGAGGGAGTGTGTGTGTGTGTGTGGGGGGGTCCTCGGGATTCGCACCTCTCCTCTGGGAAGGACGCCATTATCTCAGAAAAGGTCTGATGCTTCCCTTTCCAGCCTGCTCTGAATCAGAGCTGCTCTGCCGGGCCCTGATGCCAAACCCTAAAACACCACGCCCACCTCCAGGCCTTTGCTCCCGCTGCGGCCTCTGCCGGGAATGCCCCTCCTCGTCCCCTTCGCTTGCCCCATTCTTCCTCACCTCCCACCTCTTGGCTTGGGGGCCACCTCTCCGAGGAAGTCCTCTAAGCGTCTCCTTTGCGGGAACTGCACTGCAGTCGCCTGTTGCTAGACTATGAGCTCCTGGGGGGCAGGGACAATGTCTCCTTCAGCACTGTGCCCGAGGTCTTGGCACAGGGCGTGTCACACAGTGGGCATTTGTTGAATGAAGGAAGGGCCCAGTGAAGAAGCCTGAGCTGGGATGAAGAGCCAGGCCCTGCAAGTGGGTGTGAAGCTGCCACAAGCTCACAGCTGCATCAGGTCCTGGGGCAGAGCTCAGCTGTTCCAGAGAGGAGACCGCCAGGCCCCTGCCTCCAGGGGCCAAGGGCGATGAAGAGCAGGGAGAGACGGAGCTGGGTCCCAAAGTGGCTCAGGCAAATTGAGACCGGGCTGGGCCCTGACTTCCACCCTGAGTTTGGGGTCTTTAATTTGGAGGGCTTCTTTCCAGGTAAGCACCTGATAGAGATAAGGGGCCCCAAAAAGACTGTAGGGAAGATGAGGTCCCTCGAGACCACTGGGCCTGGTGCGGGGAAGAGGTGAGATGCAGGGCTAATGGCTCAGGCAGGGAACCTCCCCTCCCCACAAGAGTCATTCTTGCCAGACTTCCCCCAGAGGCAGAGAATGTGCCAGGAGCTCAGCACAAATGAGGGGAAAGAGGCACCAAGGGTGGAAGGCAGGGCCTTTGAGACACCCAAAGGCAACTGCTCAGCCTGCGGGGAGTGGGTCAATGGAAAACTGGTTTGAGGCCTCCGCACAGGGCAGTGGGAAGAGCTGAGACTCGTGCAGGGTCACTCTTCCAAGTGCTTCCCAATATTAACTCACTGAATCCTCACAACAATGCCATCAGGTAGGTACTGTTATTATCCTCCTTTTACAGAGAAGGAAGCTGAAGCACAGAGGAAAGTAAACGACTTGCCCAAGGTCACACAGTGGAGCTGGGGCGTGAGGCCAGGGGTCTGCCTTCTCTAAATTAGTGGGGTGGGGGGCTAAGAGCACAGGCTCAAAGTCAGCCTGCCTGGGTTCAAGTCCTGGCTCTGCTACTTACTAGCTGTGGGATCTCTCTGTCCAGTGCCTCAGTTTCTTCATCTGTAAGATGGGGATGACAGCACTTATCTCACTGCATGGTTGAAAGGCTGACACAATAAAGCCCTCAGCACATTGCCTGGTATGTAGCAAGTGCTCAATAAAGGTCATCTATTGATATTACCCTCTGGCTTACGAGCACAGGATAAGCTCACGTTGTTGAGTGATCGAAGGTACACAGAATAGGGAGGCTGATAACAATCTGTCACCTGTTCCCTACTGTCAGGAGGCAGATTTAAAATGGCTTAATCAGAAGGATCCAGGAGTAACTAAAAAGAACTATTTGGGTCTCTGGAGATCAAGGCAACACTCTTCTTTATAGAGAAGGAAACTGAGGGTCAGAGAGGAGAAGTAAATTGCTCAAGGTCACATAGCAGGTCAGTGGCAGGGCCAGGGAAGAGACCTCAGGCCTTTGGTTAGAGCTAGACCTTCACCCACCTAGAAGAGAGGGCCCCAGGCAACGTCCCCCACCGATCACTTAGAGAGACGGCACTTTAAGTGGCTAATCCAGTCTGCCCGAGTCATCCAAACCTGAAGCAAGCAACCAGAAGGGCCCACTCCAGCTCTGGCTTGCTAATTCTGAAGCCCACATGCTGCACCTCAAACAAGTAACCAATCAAGGAAAATCAAAGTTCCAAACTGTCTCCCAGGAGGAGACGAGGATTTCTCAGCAGGTCATCATGCCCTGGGTTTACCCTCCATCCAGAGGTCTGCTGCTCTGTTAAGACGTACCCAGGGCTCCCAGCTCAGCCGGGACTGGTGCCCCCACCAGGACTCATCTCCCGGCCACCTTACCGTGTACCGCTGAATGGCGTGGTAGCCGTGGTACAGCTCAGCCAAGTGCTGGAAGTGGTGGAACTTGCTGAGCATCACGTCCTTCTGGGCAGGGTCTGCAGGGCACAGCGGGAGGGGAGCAGGGCAGGAGGGAGAGGACGTGTCAGACGGTGCAGGTTCTCCCCCGACACCAGACCTAAGCCAGGGAGATGGGAATGGCACTCTGCGCAGGAGCTGCGCTATCCTGAGGCAGCTAACGTCTCGGCGGGGCAGAGCACACAGCAGGACTTCTCTCAGGGTCATTCCCTGGGGGAGGGCCAGCTGTGCGAGAGGGCGATCACTGGCATCCAGACAAGCCAGAGCCACCTGGCAGGGAGGGTGGACAGACATCAAGTTCATTCACGCTCACCTCATGGCTCTTCCCTCTGTGTCCTTGCGTATCAAATCACAAACCACTGGCCAGAACAAAAAATGCCACCTTCTGCTAGAGCTTGACAGCTTTCAAACTATAACCATGGTTCTGGGAGGCTCACAGCAGCCTTATGAAGGAAGCAGGGCGGGATGACCCCCACGCTACAGATGGGGCTGCAGTGCTGAGGAAGGACTGTGACTTGTTACGAGTCGCCTAGCTGCTCCAATGCCAGTGTCTTTCCCACTCCTGCAGGCTGGCCTCGGCCCAGTGGAGAGCATCTCCCTGCCCCGTCCGCTTCCAGAACTCCCTCAGTGCATCATGGGAAGTCTTGTGAAAGAAAGCAACATCGAAACTATCTTCCTGCCTGGGATGAGCGAGAATCTGGAGTGTGTTACTGTAAAAGGATCTCTTTTTCACCTTTTCATTTAGTTCAACATTTTGAAACCACGGCTCAGCCAGGTCCAGTTACAGGTTCCCAGGTAGCAGGGAAAAGATATGTTCTGAATTAGCAACACAGGGCAAAGCCCAGGGCTTTAATTAAAACCTCACAGCTCTTCCGATGTTTATCTTGGTGCCAGAGTGGGGCCAGGAAAACAAGCGGCCCTGCTGATGTTTACTTACCTTGAGCTATATCGAGGCACTGCATGGACAGCATCCAGTAATAATAGGCAGCGTCATTAAATCTGCTCTCGACCACGGCATTGTGTGTGAGCTGCTCCAGCACCCTGACTGCTTCCCCCTGCCGCCCGGCCTTGTGGAACGCTGCAGGGGCACAAAAGCACACACCATGGGGGGAGTTGGGTGGAATTCTGCAGGGCTTGCAAGGGGCTGCTGTAGAAGTAGGACCCTTGTCGGAGCATCTGCAGCACCGCGCTGCTGGGATGCGCCTCTCAGGCCAGAGGCTATAAATAACCAAGGCTACATCCTGAAAAAAAGTACAGAGAGATATACGCCTTTTTGGCTGGGAAAAGGCAACCCGCTTTGGCAAGGCATGGCAGACAGAGAAAGCTGAGGGGCCAAACTGCAGGGCAAAGTCCAAGGACAGAAGCGCTGCTCACGTCAGTGAGGTTCTGCCCCCTGCCCTGTTCCAGGACAAAGCCTAGTGACTCTCCAGGTGACTAACAGGACCTGGCACTCTAACGGCCTCGGTGGTTTTACAGAGTGCTTTTGTTGATGATTCCCTCACAACAGAATCTGTGAGTCTGTTGGATCGTCACAACAGATCTAGGAAGACGCTTTTGAATGCACTCGCAAGGGGGAGGTAAAGTGGCACACCCAAGGTCACAGAACCGAGCCCGACTCAAGCGCTTGGTCAGTCTCCAACTGAGTGCTTTTTGATGACAACCTTGGAAAATCTGGCTTGATTCTAGCAACCAAACATTTGTGAAAACAAGCAAAGATTTCTCAGTCGTTCTCACATCCACTTAACAGAAATTTCTTGAGTCCCTACTGTGTGGCCAGACCCTCGGGATGTTGGGGGCAGCTGGGGAAGCACTTCTAGCTGTGATGCTTGCCCACATGTGGGTGGCTCAGATGATCCAAATCCTCTGCGTTAGGGAAGGAAAAGGTCTGGCCTTTGTTCCAGTCTCATCTCCAATCTCTCGTCTGAGTACCAAGTTACTATGGCGATGGATTCTTGGAAGGACAGACCAGACAGATGGATAGGTTGATGTGTTTTGCCCAAACATGCACATACTTCAGCAACTGGGTACTCTGGAAATGCTGAAGCAATGGAGAACGTGCTGTCCTTCAACGGGGCCTTTCAGCTGAGGAGCTTCCACAGGGAGCCACTCCGAAATGTGTCCGGAGGTGGCAACTGTTCCCACAGAGAAGTGCAAATGGGATGCTATGGAACATGACACATCCAACTGCAATTAGAATACTTCCTAGAGAAGCAGTGAACCCTAGTTGGGAGAATCAGCCTCCCCAGTCTGACAGATCCTGCTCCAATTCTGGCTTTGCCACTCTGTGGCTTTGGGACTTTGCAGGGCACAGTTAGCCTCTGCGTCTCTGTAGGCTACTGCCGAGGTGCAAGGTTATGTGGTTAAGCACCCAGTCAGTGCCTGACACACAGAAGGCCATCACATTTAAAAATTATTTTTACCATTTAAAGCGCTAGACTTCCTCTCACTCCTGTGCCCAGCCGTTTTACCACTGGGTATGCTGAGGAGCAGAGGACACCCCGTTTCCCTGAGCCAGAAGCAGAACCCAAGTTTCTCTTCCGGGTGAGGAAAGTGGCAGGTGGGACCATTCTGGCCATTCTGCGGCCACTCTCCTTCCGTCCTCCCCCACCCTGCCTCAAATTCCCTCTCTGCCACCTCCTAGCTGTGGGACTTCAGACAAATCCCTTTACCTCTTCCAACGTCAGTTTTCTCACCTACAAAATGGTACCTACATCACAGGGCTGCTGCGAGGAATAAACAGGAAGATACACTGGAGCTCACGGTGCTTTGCTCAGAGAGGAGACAGGACCTGCTGAAGGTCCTGAGGCATGTGAGTGGTGGGCCCGGGTGCATCCCACGCAGAGCCCGTGTTCCTCCCACGGCTCCATGGCCTTTCAGCACCAAGCACATCACAGCCGCCGAGAAAGCTGTCTGTCTTGGGGCCCACGGCAGGAGGGCTGGGCAGCCTACCTGACACGTGTGTCTTGGCAGTGCTTTCTCCTGCCCCTTGTGCAAGGTGCCAGTCTATGTGGCCTACCTTTCTGGGCTTCCTCAAAACGATCGTTCTCTGCTAGCCACTGAGCGTAGGGCACGTAGATGTCATCCTTAAACTCGGGATGCTTCTCACCCAAGGCGAAGGCCTAGAGGAAGGAGCAAATGGCTTCTTAATAAAGCAGCCCCCGCGGCCCCCATGAAAACACGGGCGCTTGGCTGAATCCATCAGGGATGTCATATTTTGCCAGCCTGACAACTCGGAGAAGGAGAGTGCCTCCCCCCCCCACCACCCCCAGAAACGCAAAAACAAATCAGCTCTTTGAAAACAAAAGGCAATTAACAGCAATATGCAAGCAACTGGATTCAGTAACAACACAGTCTGTTTCTGAACCACAGAAGTGGCACAGAATCGGAAACATTTTATTTTGAGGCTTTGCGTGGGCTCCTGTCGCACTGCAAACAGATTTCTTTTAATTGCAGGCGACACCTAAGGAAAGATAATTGACATTATCATCATTGCTGCTTATTAGCTATCAAAGATGACCGTGGTCGTGGTGCTGCATGGGACCCGGTGACTGCTTCATCTAAGCCTCAGAACCACCTGTCAGACCGGGAGAACCGGAAATGAGTCACGGGGGAAAATATGTGGCAACGGGGAGAAAGTCTGCCTCATGCACAGCCAAGATGCTCTAATTTATGCTGCTTGAGAAATCTGATAAATGTATCTTGAGAAGCCATTATTGCCTCTGTCCCTGGCTCCACCTTTTCTCATCAGTGACCCTGTCACCTCACCAAATGGAGCCAATTAGCGGGGAGACAAGAGTCAGACAGCTCTTACCAGCAAAGGCCTTGCAGCGGCTCTGCAGACCAGACCACAGTGGGTGGGTGGGGAGGGTGAGGACGGTGTGCACAGCTCTCATCCCCTCGAGGATGAATTTTAATCCAGGGCACAGGGAGCCAGTCAGCTGGAGGGCGGGACTTAAGCCACAGAGGGGCAGCACACCAGCTGCTCCACCAGCCCCACCACAGCCATCTCTCCCGCTGGCCTGGCTAATTCTCTGACCGACCCTCACGACAGAGGAGTCGGGGGGAGAGGGCCGGGAAGAGGAGGAGGAGCTGGCCCCTGAAATGGCTCCGGCCGTTTCAGGGAAAGTACGGGTGGCATCTTCTGCCAAAATGCCAGCCAGCAGGTTTTAAATGTCACACAGGTGTGCCTCCCTGTCTGCGATGCTTCAGCCCGTGGTGCTGGTCAGAGGCAGCTCAGACCAACAGCAGGCAGTGGGGGCTGTCACGTTAACTCCCACATCCTTGGGGTCCATCACTGGGCTGGCACACAGCCAGCAGGCCATAAAGATTTTCCGAATGAATGAACGAATAAGCGAACAGACAGAAAGCGAGTACGGAGAGGCCCTCCAGGATACTCTGGCTCAGAGAATTCACAGGTGAGTCTCGTGACTGCCAGGCCAATGTTCACACCCACAAGGAGGACAGCTGCTCTCCACCCAAACCCCCCAAATCCCCATGTCCCGGGGCTCAGGGAGGGCCCCCTGTACTCACCTCATCCCAGCGCTGGGTGTCCACGTGCAGGTGAACCAAGGACTTCAGGTCACCAATCTTCAGGTAGGTCTCGGCAGCATAGCCAGGGTTATCCAGCTTCTTGAAGTAGTGGGCGCACATCAGCAGGGGCTCCCGCTCGGCCTTGTCCAGCTTACGGGCAATGTCGATGAGCCTGGAGCGGCGAGAGCAAAGGGAGGAGATGGACTCCCAGGAAGGGAGCCCGGTGGAAGGAAGCGAGCGTCTGCGTCTTCCCAGGGCAGGCTCGGTGTTGATTCGTGCTGACGTCCCCAGGCCTCCGTATGGCGCCATGGCCCCTGGTGCTTGATGGGAGGTTATTAATTGAGTGAATACTTAATCCAGAAACGCTGCTTGGTAAAGGACACCAGCTCCCCCACCTCTTGCGCCTTTCACAGGAGTTACGAACCTATCCAGCAAGCTTTGGGGAGAGAAATCAATGTTTACTCATCACCTACGGGCGTCAAGCTCAGCGCCATGAGCTTTCGCATGTGTGATCTCACTGAACCTTCACTGCCCTAAGGGGGTGGTACTGCTATTCCCATTTAACACATGAGGAGACTAGAGGCTAGGGTGAAAGGTGAAGCAACCTGCCCAAGACTCTGCAGCCAGGAAGTGGCAGAGTGCCCTTTCCAGCACCATTTGAGGAATTCTCACAGGAAAGTAGAAGCAGAGGTGGGAGATGTCTTCTGGGACAGAACCTCTCAAGGAAGAGGCATGTGCGGTTCTGCTCTGAGCTCTGGAAGGAAGGCCTGCAGGGAATCTTGACTGTGCCTCTCCTCCTGGCCAAAGTGCTGACCAGGCTGAGGGGCCATGGGGACCACTGGTTCACCACTTTTCCCCAGTGGTAGCCAGTCCTGCCACTGCTCGTGGGCTCATGAGGCTGCGTGGAAAGTGCTTGTTCCCTCTGGTCAGGCCGGGGTTTTGAGTAAAACCAGCTCTCCCAAGGGAAAGGGGTTCTACCCAGCTCGCTCTTTGTGAGAAGCAGCTGTAGCAAAGCCCTGTCTCAGAGACAGGCGAGCTCAGGGAGGCCTGTCAATCTGTACTTAGAATAATAATGGCATCTAAAAATAACACTTCTCAGCAAAGAAAGGACACGTGTTTAGGGAAAGGTGGCACAGGCAGCACCTTAGCACCTCCGCCCCCGCCCCGCCCATCAACCCTAATGTCCCTGGAGGAGAAGCACCTTTTACAGCCAGGCCTGGAAGAAGGACAGAACATGCTTAATGTCTCCTTTCTGCACTAGTTAAGTATCCCCAGGGTAACCTGATTCATATAAGCTGCAAATGAAAGTGACAGGCAAAACCAGAGGATTGAGTGGGGGACCTAAAGCTGCCTGGCTCTCTCCTGTACCACACCTTTCATGAACAGAATAACTGGGGGGCAAAATCTGCACCTCTATCTTCAAGAAACGTTATCCTTGGACAAGAGAAAGATGGGGTAGTAGGTCACCCACCCAGGTCCCTTTGTGAGGGACCACACCAACCACATGACTTAGCCATCAACCAGCCCCTCCCCCTCCCAGGTCCCGGGCCACTGCTACCTGTTTCTAGAACAGCCAACAGCTTTCAGGGCTTAGACTGAGCCAAACTCAGGAGCCACTCCCTCACCTCTTCTCCTGTGCCAGCTGTAGCAGCCTATACGTGTGTACATGTGTGAGCACAAAGCCCACTCTCCCTGACGGTGGGAGGAGAAAGCCCTCTGCCTGAAGGTCTGATGCTCTAAGAGTCCTAAGACCAAATCCATGCTCTGTCTGGCAGCTCCACCCCAAGTCCCCATTGCTTCTGTTCTCTGCCTTGAGTGAAATCACTGACCACCAGGCCCAGAGCTCAGAATCAGCTCTGCCGGCCCTGCCCCGACGCACCCTGCCTTGGGTCCTGTCAGTTCACCTCCTCCACGTCTCTCTCGTTCTCTCAGCTGCCACACTGGCCACTTACCTGGTCCTCCTCTAGTTTTCCCTCCATCCCCCCACCTGCTGCCTGAGTGGGCTTCTGAGAGCACAGCCCCGACCAGGGGTCCTCACCACCTACTGACAAATCTAAACGCCTCAGTTTGGCTGGCCCCGGAGGCCCTCCCGGTGAGGCCAGCCCCGATGCCCCTGCCACAGCCTGCATCCTCCACCCTCACCTGGACCCTTCATGTGACCAACACCAACTTGTCCTGCTTGGGCAGTTCTTCCACCTGCACGATCTTCCCTTCCTACCAACTCTACCTCCTGAAATTCGTCAAATGACCTTCGTGCAAAGACTACCTCTCAGGAGAAGACATCCAGGGCTCCTCCCGTGAGAATTCACGTCTCCTTCCCTGACATGCTTAGGACTTTTCTTGTTCTTTTCAGGGCCTACCATCATACCGGTTATGGGCACTGAGATCAGTCTGTAGCTCTGCTCCACAAATTCCCGGCTACCTGGCCTTATACGATCACTTGGTCCCTGAACCTTGGTTTCCTCCTTTGAAGGTGGGCATGGAAACACCAACGCGGAGGGTGGGGGGGAGAACCGAAGGCCGGCTCGGCTCGTAGGGAGGGCTCAGGGAATGGCAGCCCCGGGGCCTGGGTGGCTCCCCCCTCAGTCCCCACCACCCTTTCCCCAGGGCCTTGCTGAGCTTCCCAAAGGCAGCGACTGCCTCGTTCAGTCTCTGTGTCTCCCAAAAACCAAGTCACCATCACCTTTGGATCAGATACTTAGAGAAACACTAGTTTTTTCCTTGTCAGTCAAAACCAAGAGCTGACATGACATGACATGCTGCCAAATGCCTCTTGGGGCAGGGACTGAAAACCTACGTGTCAACCCAGCCGTGGTCGCCGCTGATCTCTATGGCCTTGCCGTGTTCGCCCGCCGAGATGTACATCTCCACGGCGGCTTTGGGCTCGTTGATATTTCGAGCCCAGTCGGCCTGTTTGGTGATTAGCATCTTTGTTTCTTTGGGGTCTCCAGATCCAAGGAAATCCTGAGGAAGCACAACAAACAAAAACATTCCGGATTAGAACTTCCTGCTGCCAGCATTACGTCAGGCTGCTGAAGGCTGCAGCAAGGAAGGGCCCCATTTGGCTGCAGCAGGCGGTCAGGATGCAGGCATGAGCCGGTACCCTCGGGGCGGACTGCAGGGCAGGCCCAAGTGCTGGGGAGGAGGGCTCGCAGGCCGCCCCACAGGTGCTCCTGGGGGTACGAGGTCAGTGTCAAGGACTATGGCCCTCAATGTTTCTTGCCCCTCCCACTAATGGACGTTTGTTCTTCAGCTAAACAACACTTTCCCGACTCTCTGGAGTACTGCACACAACCCCGCAGTGTGGGAGGTTTATGATCAGAGTACTTTGTTTCTCTCTCATATAGAGTTTGATGTATGTGTAACTATTCCTTTATAGTGACTTTACAAAATTTCAAACAGTCAGACCTAAAATCTTTATTCAGAGTGTAAGGATGATACCACACGCCTCAGAGTGAGGCTGAGTATGTGGTCCCCTGAACTTAAAGGAGGCAAGATGGTTTACAGAGTTCTACGACGGCCCCTCAGCCATCGCCACACTGCAAGTATCACTGGCATCCGTTTTCTGACTCTGTTCACGTTCTGCTGCCTGAACTCAGGGCGTTGTCCCCTCGGCTTTGCCCCAGCTGTTTGCCTGGGGCCGACAAGGAGCACGAGTGGTTTTGGTTATGGTTAATTACTTCTCAACAGGATAGTATCAGACCCTGTCCTGAGATCAGGTCTGCAGGGGTGGGGACAGCAGGAGGCCGTGGGGGATCTGAGGCAGGAGGAAGGGGTTGGGAGAGAATCCATGAAGGAGGAGAGGCCTGTGTTCCTTCCACCGCAACAGGGGCCTCTGAGGGGCCGTGCCCAGCTTCCCCAGGTTGGCCTTATAATTCGCAAGAAACAGTCTCAGAATATCACCTCTTTTCAGGATACAGTTACCCAAAACATGTGTTGAGGGTTGCCATAGTTGAGGCAGCTTTTGGTGCTGACAATTTGAAAGGTGGGGCTTTTCAAAAAGGGAAATTGAGAGTGCTTGGAGCCCAGCTCTGCACTCCTCCTAAGAAGCAGTTTGTCTCAGGAATAATGTACCCTGCAGAGGCTGCGCTGTGTCAAGTTCACAAAGCATAAGAAAGCACTCCTTTCTCCATTGTACATTCCTGCCTCTTTGATCAAAGATAACGTGACCATATGTGCGTGGGTTTATCTCTGGACTTTCTATCCTGTTCCACTGATCTATATTTCTGTTTCTGTGCCAGTACCATACTGTCTTGATTACTGTAGCTTTGTAGTATAGTCTGAAGTCAGGGAGCCTGATTCCTCCGGCTCCATTTTTCGTTCTCAAGATTGCTTTGGCTATTCGGGGTCTTTTGTGTTTCCATACAAATTGTGAACTTTTTTGTTCTAGTTCTGTGAAAAATGCCAGTGGTAGTTTGATAGGGATTGCATTGAATCTGTAGATTGCTTTGGGTAGTAGAGTCATTTTCACAATGTAGAGCAGAGAAAGGACAGCCTCTTCAATAAGTGGTGCTGGGACAACTGCAGGTACATGTAAAAGTATGAGATTAGAACACTCCCTAACACCATACACAAAAATAAGCTCAAAATGGATTAAAGACCTAAATGTAAGGCCAGAAACTATCAAACTCTTAGAGGAAAACATAGGCAGAACACTCCATGACATAAATCACTGCAAGATTCTTTTTGACCCACCTTCTAGAGAAATGGAAATAAAAACAAAAATAAACAAATGGGACCTAATGAAACTTCAAAGCTTTTGCACAGCAAAGGAAACCATAAACAAGACCAAAAGACAACCCTCAGAATGGGAGAAAATATTTGCAAATGAAGCAACTGACAAAGGATTAATCTCCAAAATTTACAAGCAGCTCATGCAGCTCAACAACAAGAAAACAAACAACCCAATCCAAAAATGGGCAGAAGACCTAAATAGACATTTCTCCAAAGAAGATATACAGATGGCCAACAAACACATGAAAGAATGCTCAACATCATTAATCATTAGAGAAATGCAAATCAAAACTACAATGAGATATCATCTCACACCGGTCAGAATGGCCATCATCAAAAAATCTAGAAACAATAAATGCTGGAGAGGGTGTGGAGAAAAGGGAACCCTCTTGCACTGCTGGTGGGAATGTGAATTGGTACAGCCACTATGGAGAACAGTATGGAGCTTCCTTAAAAAACTACAAATAGAACTACCATATGACCCAGCAATCCCACTACTGGGCATATACCCTGAGAAAACCATAATTCAAAAAGAGTCATGTACCAAAATGTTCACTGCAGCTCTATTTACAATAGCCAGGAGATGGAAGCAACCTAAGTGTCCATCATCGGATGAATGGATAAAGAAGATGTGGCACATATATACAATGGAATATTACTCAGCCTTAAAAAGAAACGAAATTGAGTTATTTGTAGTGAGGTGGATGGACCTAGAGTCTGTCATACAGAGTGAAGTAAGTCAGAAAGAGAAAGACAAATACCGTATGCTAACACATATATATGGAATCTAGGGGAAAAAAAATGTCATGAAGAACCTAGGGGTAAGATGGAAATAAAGACACAGACCTACTAGAGAATGGACTTGAGGATATGGGGAGGGAGAAGGGTGAGCTGGGACAAAGTGAGAGAGTGGCATGGACATATATACACTACCAAATGTAAAATAGATAGCTAGTGGGAAGCAGCCGCATAGCACAGGGAGATCAGCTCAGTGCTTTGTGACCACCTAGAGGGGTGGGATAGGGAGGGTGGGAGGCAAGGAGACCTAAGAGGGAAGAAATATGGAAACATATGTATATGTATAACTGATTCACTTTGTTATAAAGCAGAAACTAGCACACCATTGTAAAGCAATTATACTCCAATAAAGATGTTAAAAAAAAAAAAAAGAAAGCACTCCTTTCCCCTGATTAGCACTCACTTGTCAGAAAAGTACAGTCAATGTATGCTAAAAACCCACCTGAACAATTAGCGTTCTCTCTTTTCTTCCATTTGCTTTCAGGGTAATTGGGTAGCCCCTAAAATAACATATTAGACTGGCCTAAGACTAGCGATTCTTTTCAGGAGAGGAAGAAGCATCATGACTCTGATGCTGAGGATCCAATAAAAGACAGGCCCGCCTCGCTGGCTTGGGGCTCTCTGCAGTGCACACAGGTGAAGGGGCTGGAAGGCAGCCGCTGACTACCTGCAGATGCCTGGTTTGGGCTGTTACAGACCCAGGCTTTACTCTTGGCAGCTACAACGTGTACTCTTTATGCCAACACAAAGCCGGAAACTCTTCTTTAACCTGGTTGGCTAAATGAGGTTAGCAGCTGGGGAAAACAGGCATCGTGAGAGAACAGGAATGTCCTTCAAAGGGAGTGCTCAGTGGACTCCGGGTGTCTCACTCTGTAGTGAGAAGGGTCAGAGGCTAAGAGCAAGCCATAAATTTGGGTCGTCAGTGTGGAGACCAGGCAGGGACACAGCTCCCGGGCTTGAAAGAGCCTCCTCCAGCCCCACGCTCCAGCTCCTGGAGCTCGGACCTAATAGAAGTTAAGTCTAAATGGTGCTTCAAGGCTCAGCAAACTGGGTTTCCAAAGGTTCTCTGGTCCCATGAAGCTAATTTACACGTTATCTGGGGCCATGGCAAAGACTCTGTCCCGGAGTGGACAGAAAGAGGCTGTGCTGAGTGATGAATGAGACTAAACAGTGTTCTCATGCTTGGTGATTTTGATAAGGATATACTACATAAGAGTTAAGAGCATTATAATTCCCTTTATCTCCATATAAACATGTCACTTCCCCAGAAAGCATACAATTTATTTGTACGTGGGAATGTAATTTAAAAATTTTCTGAAAACCAGATTGAATCCTGGGAAGCAATTTTCAAGTAAACAAAAACATGCCATGTTAATAAGCACTGTATCTTCCCCCACCCCCCGACATAATGTGTACGTACACATTTTCTCAAATCCAGACTGTCGGGGGTCGGCGGGGGGAACGAAATGGAAGCAACCTACTTGGATCCTACTTGGAATTGTGATCAAAACCTGAAACCGGAAACAACCCCCAGCGTATTTACCTTCATGGAGAGGCAGACCAGACGGACTGCGTAAACGGGCTGCCTTTCTGGGTGGACGAGCGTAGGCGCACAAAGCCCACTGGAAGTGTGAGGAGGGGCTTCAGTGCAGGGCAGGGTGGGGCTGGCGGGGGCCGGTCTGAAGGACGGCCATGCTGTGGTCACGCCTGGCTCCACTCACTCTCCCAGCCTTTCTACAGCTCGGCCTTTGTAAAGGGCTTCCTCGTGGGTTCATTTCTGCAATTCTCAGAACTGAGCTCAGCTGGACAAGGCGACCCTCCAAGAAGGAAATGGAAGCTGGCAAAGTGCGGAGCCTCCCCCAGGTCACCCACAGGGAGGCTGAGACTCACGCCCGCTCTCTGGGCACCACGGCAAGGTGCTGTCTCCTACGCCACAGCTGCCCACCAGGACTTTGCAGAGGACCCGGGAAGCGCTGTTGGTCCGGAAGAACAACTAAGCCTAGCTGTTCCTAAAGCCTGAATTCTACCCTCAGGGATTCGATCCTTTAGTTCAAGGTTTTATCCTTGGTTTAAATGTTGTCACCCCCAGAAAGAGACACCCTGATTTATGTGTTCTCAGTGTGAATGCACTGTTAAATTGTGTGTGTGTGTGTGTGTGTGTGTGTGTGCGTGTGTGTGTGTGTCATGTGTGTGGTGGGGTTTGGGGGAGGATACAAAAGTTGAAGAGGGCAAAAAGGGGGCTACCTGAAGCACCCAGATCTGAGAGTTGGGGTGAAGGAGCCACCAAGGAAGAGACAGACTGGAGCCCAGGTGCTTGGCCAGGTACTGATGACCAGCAACTCCCGGGCCACATCACAGGGACCCATGGATGGTAGAAGATAAAAGAGCACGCAGCCATCTCCAGGAACAGAAAAGCAGGGGAAAAAATGGGGAGAATTTTCCATCTTGAACTCGTTAGCTAATTACCATTAACAGCCTCTAACTGGTTGTGGCTGATGACTCACTGAACATTCTGAAGCCTCTCTGAGGTTACCCGGAGACAGGTTAACAAAGGCACCTCCGTGGAAGGAAGATCCTGGCTGTTCCAGGCACCCACCCTCTTTTCACCCACGCTAGGCGAACCTGCATGTGTCCTGGTGGTCTGGGGTCCTCAGTGGGACTCAGTCTCACACAAGCCACCAGGAGCTGCTCCAGGAAGACTGCCCTCATGTACCTTTAAAGGCCCAGACCTGTTGGGGACTAACCTTAACAGGGGCCCTCCAAATGCAAGAGGGTATCTCCCCCAACCCCAGGCGAGCGATGGGGGCACAGTGTGCTCACAGTGGCGGCAAGGCCTCTGTCACAGCGCCTTTGAGGCCCAGTGCGAAGCCCAGCACCAAGCAGAGCAGGCACTTAGGGAACCTTGGCTGGAGTGAACCACGCTGGTCTGTGTGACGACAACAGCAGAACCAGCTCATGCCTGAGGACACAGGTTCTCAGTGGCTTCTGACAAAGGTTTGAGAGACTTTGTGGGAAACAGAACCCCGAACCCTTAACAAAGGGACTATGCTGGTTAGGACTCACCGTCCATCCAGTTCTGTCACTGACAAAGCTCTGAACCGTTACACTCTGTCCCTTTTGACATCAGCCTGAAAGGTCAGTTGTAGGTCAGCTTTAACCAGTGGCCTCCGATGGTTCCTCGTTTATCAATGTGCCCACAGCTGTTCTGAGGCCACAGCTACCGTCTGTCCGCACCACCTCTGGGGTAGACAGCCTGGAAGCTGCAGGGTCGGGACGGCAGTGGGCAGGCCGTGGCCGGGTTACCTTGGCGTACTCAAACATGCGGAGGTCTGTGTACATGTCGAGCGCGAGGTTCTCGTGCCCGCTCCTCTTGTACAGTCTGGCGGCCTCGTGGAACTTCCCCTGGTAGGAAAACACATCTGCCAGAAACAGGTCATTGTTGGTCTCTCCCCGCTTCTTCCTCTCCTGGAAAAATTAGAAGCACAGGAAACGGCCTCTGCAGCCATGGCAGGAAGCAGCCTTTACAAAAGTTAGATGTTGCTATTTCAGGTTAAGCCCCTGGGCCTTCCTACTGGAACCTACGCTTGGCTCCTGGGCTGTTGTGTCTCTCACCTAGGTTTCTGGTGGGAATGCTTGACAACAAAAGCAGATTTTTTTTTCCAGATGAGTGAAGATCAAAAGAGATGCAAACTTTTGTTTGTTTAATGGAAATTCCTCACGGCTGCTTCCTTATATATTCTTCCAAGGAAACAACTGCATAGTGAGGATGGTGTGTACCGCCCACTCGTAGGGGGCCCCCAAGCTCTAAGAGCTCCGAAATCCCCAGGCCTGGTTTGGCCGAGTTGTTACTCATGATAATGGTGGACAAGGACAAAGTTTAGGGTTTCTTCCCAAGAAAAAGACCAACAAAACAGGATAGAGAATCTTACTACGTCCCTGTCTCTAAAGAGAAGGCAAGCAACGCCGTGTGTTGAGAACCCACTAGGCGCCGGCTACTCCTCACCCAAGTGTCACACTGCGGGAAGCCGGGACTCGGGAGAGGGGCAGGTCGCGATCACACAGAACTGGCGTTTGGACTCTGTCTGACTCTAGATGCTCTCTGTTCCACATAATACACCCTTCGGAAACTCGTGATGGCCCCCAACAATACACCTGTGCGCGCAGGCAAGCACACACACACACACACACACACACACACACACACACACACACACAC